TGCTCAAAGGATCAGGGAAACAGAACAAAACCTGATCGAGATGGGGTCATTGGCCTAGAAATACAATACTTGTTACCATTAGATTAAGATATTATACAGTAGATAAATTATCTGCTATAATTAACATTTCAATATGATATTTAATGCTACTACTTATAATAATTATATTAATAATAATTACATAATAATACATATCAATTATGTTTGCAACTACATCAAATTTAACAATAGTAGTACATTCTATATTTATAACTTGAAATTGTGAGGAGGCAAGTTTTGACCAGTTTTTTTCTTCTTCTATTTCACAGGATGTGATATGCAGTTCTTTTTTCTTTGCTTCAGCTTGAAACAGTTCACATGAAACAGAAAGTCTAATGGAATCAGAAATTCTTATTTATTTATATTTTTAAGGGAAATGTTGTAATCTGAAAATTCCTTTACACTGTAGAACATGTTGTTAAGCAGGAAAGCTTTCAATTTAGATTTTAAATGTATGAATTGTGTTTATGTCTTTGATATCATTGCCTAGTTTGTTGTAAAGTGTAATGCCCTCTATTAGGGTACTTTTTTGATAAAGTGTAGTTTCAGAGTGGGGAACGTGTAGGTTATCCTTTTGACGGGTGTTGTAGTTATGTACATCAGAATTTAAAGTAAAACTGTCTTTGTTTTCATGAGATTTTCTTTGTGAAGACCACTATTTCAAATATGTAACATGCATGGTAGAGGAAGAATCCTTAGTAATTAACAAGGGTTTGCAAGACTACAGCTTATGAGTGCTGTCATTGTTCGCAGTATTCTTTTTTGGATAATAAATGTGCGGTGCTTCAGGGGCATTTCCAGAATATTATTCCATATTTTAGGTGTGAGTGCACATTTGCAAAATACATTGTTTCAAAGTGTCTCAATGTTGGAGCTTGACTGAGGGTGTATAGGGCATAGCAAGATTTGCTGAGCTTCTTGTTAAGATTTGAGATGTGTGTTCCATTTTAGGTTTTCTTGAATTGTTAGTCCGAGGAAGGTAGTTTCATGAGATATCGTTACAGGGTTATTGTTTATGAGAAAATGCTGTGAGAGTTTTTCTTTAGATCGAGGATTCATGAATTTAGAGAGACTGTCTTACTGGTGTTTTATGATGAGTTTGTTGTCTTGAACCATTTTACTAGTGCTTGCAAAGTTTTGTTTCTTTTTCTAATGATTGTTGTGCTTTTGCTTTGATGATGATGTTTGTGTCATCTGCAAACAAAATTATTTTGTTGTTCTTAAAGCCCAAGGCATGTCATTTATGTATTATAAGAATAGTATTGGCCCAAGGATGAATCCTTGCAGGACTCCACAATTTATTATTTGAGGACAGGAGTAGTATGAGGAGATTTTGTTTTGTTTAGTGTGTTGGAGGGCAACTATTTGTCTACGGTTTGATAATATTGATTTGATCCATTGGCCTGCAATGCCTCGAATCCCTAGCCATAGCATTTCTAGTTTTTTTAAAAGTATATGATGGTCAATGATGTCAAAGGCTTTTGACAAATCTAAGATAAGGCCAATGAGAATTTCCTTCTGATTTAGTGCAACAAGTATGTCATTTAAAAAGGAGAAGATGGCTGTGACTGTGGATCTATTACTCCTGAAGTCATGTTGTGCATTTGTAAGGACATTATTTGCATTAAGAAACTGTTTGAGTATCATTGAAAAGTCTTTCCAGAATTTTTGAAAATCCTGATAACAGGGAAATAGGCCTGTAGTTCATTGAGTCATAACTATTGCCCTTTTTAAACAATGGTTTTTTTTAAACAATGGTTTAATTTTTGCTGTTTTGAATATATCTGGAAATATGCCTGATTTTAGAGAGTAATTGCAGATGTGAGATAGTGGTTGCACTGTACATGGAGCACTGTGTTTAATAAGAAAATCTGGAATTTTGTCCATGCCTGCTGAGAATTTATTCTCCATTTGTCCAATGATTTTAAAAATTTCAGAGGGGGTGGTTTCATATAAAAATATGGAATTTACAATCTGTGTAATATTAGTGTTTGTTTGGTGTGTTTTATTGTTTAGAGAGTGCTGAGAGATTAACTTATTACTAATTTGTGAAAAGTGTTCATTGAATATATCAGCTATTTCTTGTAGGTCTTGTACAGTTTCGTTTTTGTAGTGGAGCTCTATGTTTTTTAAAAAAGGAATAGTGACCAGCTAAATGAACCAGAACAAAAAGAACTCAAAAATATAAAATTGTATGATTAAATGTGAGAGCATAATTAAGCATTTATTACAACAAAGCTTCCAACCTTTTATGTAATATATGACAATGATAATAAAATTTAATTTCACTAAAGTAAGTAGAAACAATTCAAGCATGATGAACATAAAAACAGAATCACTTCTTTAAGATTCTGGTTTCTGCCTGCTCAAGGTCACCACTTATTTACAACTATCATCATTAGTAAAACTAGTGGTGCTACAATAGCATATACTCTTTCATATTCTCTCTATATATATGAGCAAAATCTTGGGAGAAATATTGGTGACATTTCCAAGAACATCTTTACGTATTTTTACTTTCTCATATACTACTTTACAGAACAGAGAAAATGTTGCAGAAAACAGATATTTTTCAAGAGAAAAACTCATTTTGTTAATCTCTAATACTGAGAAAGTGGATTTTTCTTGCTTCTATTTTTGGTAAATTAATTTCTTTAATATGTATTAGTCAGAATCCATGTTAGTTCTTGATACTGAAAAATTGGTTTATGACAAAACATCTATTGTCCCTGAGCATTACCTTGTTTTTACATAGGATTTTCACCAAAAGTCCAAAACAGTCTGACTGATGTTACAGTCCTTTGAATTTGAAACAAATTTTTGAGGGTCCTTCACGTGAAGCCCCATCATTTCAAAATACTCTCAAAATGGCTCCAAATGTTTTCTTGAATATAAAAAAGTAACCTTTTAATATGGTTCACACCTGACTTTCACTGAAATCTCTGAATTATCGAAAATTGTAATCATTTTAAATTGTTTTTGGTTTCGGCATCGGTGGGACATAGTGTGGCATCGCGCAGATGGGCTCTGGGATTGGTGGACGTGACAAGCACAAAAAAAATTTAAGAATTTTGCAGTATCAGGAACCCCCAAAATCCCGTCAAAATCACAACATAGTTTTGTTTTAAACATTACATATAGAGGTGTACACATTATTGGACCAGAGATATTTAATGGGGTGAAAATGGATTTGCAATCAGAGATCCTAGCAATAAACCGTGGGTACAGGTTTCTAGTAGTTTACAAACGTAATCTACTTTATAATTGACAGCTTTTTTCTGTAAGGAATGTTCAAAATAATTTTTTGACACTTCTTTCATCCATTGAGGGTAATTTCCTCAGAGGTGAGTGAGTTGGTCTACAATATGGTTTATGTAACCCTAGCTTCAGTAGCTTATGTAACCCTAGCTTCAATAGCTTATGTAACCCTAAATCAATAAAGGAAAGCAATTTGTTTAGATTTTATAACATTCTTAATTTCATAAAAGTAAATAATACAGGCAGATTTTCTCACTATTGGTTATTAATCATAGATTGATGAATTTGAGATAGTTAGAGGATATATTTGTTAAGATACTAACTCTACTTATGTTTGCTATACGCTTTTATAAAGGGGGCCCGATAAAAGTTTTGCAGATGAGCTCGCTTTCATTTTGAAATGATACTGAGACACTATAATTAATATTAATTACCAAACTCTCTTTGTCAAAACACTTAAAACATTTCATAGAAGAAACAAGAAAGTTATGTAATTTTCTATTTTTTAATAAATAATTTTGTTTTTAGTCAGGCTCACATAATTTCAAAGAATAAAATAATAGAATTACAAGGTGACTGATTTCAAACTACAAAGTTTTATTTTATTCTATTTAGTGAGTGATGATTTAACAGCAGAAAATCTGTCGATAACAAACACAAAATCATAGGGATAAAATAAAATGGTTAAAATTTAGTATACGGTACACCCTTAGAGAAGCATGGCGGCAGGGCTTAAGCCCTAATTACTGTACGTGCTCTAATAGAAATGAATAAAACTTACAGATAGGCGATTTTCATGGTTCGCCCTTCATACGCTTTGTCCCTGCATTGTAACGTCGATTTACTTTCAAAGGCACGTTTTCTCGCTTCGCTCGCCCAAATCCAAGTCACGGCAAGGCTTGGGCCTTCGGCCCTCACGTTCACTATAAACATCCTTGAGTCTATCTAATGCATAATTACCAATTCACTTTTATAAGACATCACTTTTCAAGAAAGCCCCCAGAATTCTAACTGCCTAGTTAACGCCAGAACGGCACGAAGCGCCAGTTTAAACGACTTCCTTAGGTTGTACCGTATCCTACATTTCAGCCAATAAAATAATTTTTATTATAATATCATATCCACTACTACTAGAAAATCTAATTTGTGATACAATTCTTTATTAACACCAATACAACTATTTCACAATTTTTCTTACACTTTTATATATAATTATCAAGTTTTTACAGTTTCAAACACATTACAAGGGACAAAGATATTGGATTTTTCTTCTATTTATACATAACGGTGTGAAAGGTGTGATAAACTGAAAGAAATGTGATCAATACATGCCAACAAATTTAATTATAGATGTTTATACTGAGAAAAAATATATCTGTGTGTGAGAGAGGAGAGAGAGAGAGAGGAGAGAGAGAGGGGAGGGAGAGAGAGGGAGAGAGAGAGAGGGAGAGAGGGAGAGAGGGAGAGAGGGGGAGAGGGGGAGAGGGGGAGAGGGAGAGAGGGGGAGAGAGGGAGAGAGGGAGAGAGGGAGAGAGAGAGAGAGAGGAGAGAGAGAGAGAGTGTGTGTGTGTGTGTGAGATTTATAGATTTATATAATATAAACATATGTGAGATACTTGAACAAATAACGTTGTAAGATGTGTATAACAGCTTGTTGCTGCCATCATTATTTCAATAAATAATCATGGACAATTAGTAAGTAAATAGTCATGAATTCAAAAGGTGAAATATTCTCTGGTTAGTATTTCATCTTACCCTAGCATCCGAATCCGCTCCACCCTTTTGCCATGTCTGTTATAAATTGAAACAAACTCATCTGCTCCACTAGTGGCCAAGTATCCCCCACTGCCAGGCTGCCAACTGAGGAACACACCACCTTGGCCATGTGGGTAGTCCAACTTAAAAACACGCTGCAAACACAACTTTACCTTAGAATTCATAACACATCAATTCAGTTCACAAAACATAAATGAAACATTTATCAGATAAGTTGTAACTCCACAAATTGATTTCATCTTTTATTTTACTTCATGAAACAAATAACATTCAAAGGTAATAAAAAAGAAAAGAAATTAGGATAGATACACAAATTTAAAAAATTTAGAATGAGAAATAGAAAACATAATAAAAAGAAAGATGAAAATTACAAATTTAATTTCTGAGTCTTTAAAATAAAGTCAATAGAAAAACTATTGAATTCTCCCAAATAATGTAATAACAGTATGTGCAGTCAATGACATAAACTCCTCTAATTTTCAAACAATGTTTGTTTGATAGAAAATGAAAAGAAAGTACAATGTTGAGTAGAGGAAAGGAAATTATCAGACGAAAAGTATATTGTTTGTGTACATATTTCTCATTTATTTTAAAATTAATAATTAAATATCCATCAAGTTATGCTACTACAATCCAACTCTTCTGAATTGTTTAGCTTTGGTTCCTAGGAAGCGTGTCTGGGTAAGTGTTACTGTTGTTGTTTGGAGGAGGAAGGGAGAGATGAATTTGAAATATTGGAAACAAAAGGATGACAACATTAAATTAAAGTTCCAAACTTTTTTCCCCTGTAAGTTTAAATTGAAATCCTTAACTTTAACTGCATTGGTGCTAGAATGAAATTTTAAACAGGGGTGGAGCTGTAAGGTAGTAACCAGTCACTTACAATATTTTTCACAAGTTCTTTAGTTTCATTGTCCTATTTACAATTGTCCATTTTTTCAAGAGTACATACTATACATAGCTGTGTCATATTAAACTACCACTTCAGACTACACTCATGTTTAAACATAACCATTTGAATTGGATTGCACAGACTAAGTACCAAGCATAATTAGTAAGTCTTAAAGTCATAAAATAGTGTTACAGGTAAAAAATAATAAATTGTCAAAACTATAGTCAACAGATGGTCATTTATTCAAATTTGAATGCAATTAAATAGGAATACTTCAATATAAATAAAGTGGAAATTACTTGTTTAAATCACAATATTATCATACTAGAATTTAAAGGGATTATATTTTTTTCTTTCACTACACAGTAATAAGAAATACACTGCATCTTGTTTTTGGTATAAATATACATTTCAATTTGTAAAATTTTTTGCAAATATCTCTAGTACCTTTGTTACAAGGTTCTCAATGTAACCGGATTAAGCTATTTCATGTGCACATTTCTTGAACCCCGAATTACCTACCCCCATATTGGGGCACCCAGAGAAAACCAGGGGCCTGAGGCAGTTGATCCATTGGGGACCCCCATTTCAAACAAAAAATGTTCTTCTGCCCCAATTCACAAACAAAATTCCTTTCTCCATGCATCAGAATAACTTAAGCATTAAATTTTGATTAGAGATAAATATATTGTTTATTTCTTTTGAATGAAAAAAAAAAGCTTGACCCCAATTAAGTCAGGGCCTGTGGCAAGTTGCCTCAGCTTCTGCATGCCCCTGCCCCTTCTCCTTAACTAAAATTAGTTGAATTAATAATAAATGATAGTTTTGAGCATTATTCACAAAACGGGATAACAAAAAGGTTCGTTCCCATTTAATAAAACTATTATATTGAAAAATAAGCATCAGATTTCAGTAATAGTCCTGCCATCAAAATAACCAAACCTCTCACTCCTCTTACATATAGTAAAATCAAGTCTCAAGAAAATGGGTGCGGATAATTTTTCGAATAATTGTATAAACTTTTTTGTTTTATCTCAACAGTGTTTGTGCATTTAAATCACAATGTGAATTTTTTGAAAAAATGCTTTAAAAAACCTATTAACAAATTCAAATTTCTCCATTTTGTTTAACAGATACGGTCCTTTGCACTTCATGAGGTGTACTCATGTAGTTTTGGCTATATTCATTAATCTTTTGAAGTTTCAGAAATGACAACTGTTTAATTCCTTTCATATCTTTTGTTCATTTAAGTGAGCTTGAACTGAAGAATTGAAAGCTGATGTAACTCTTGAGCACCATTAGGTTCACAGAACATTCAAGTGTAGATGAAATTTTGATACAGATAAATCATTGGGAATTATTGGCAACATTCAGAACACAAGCTTTGATTACTTTATGAAATGAGCTGTAATACTGTCAGAAACTAAACACTATGGTGTGCTTCAAACTGTTTAATGTCAAAATATTTATAAGTTAAAACATTATGGGTTATAAGGTTTCAAAGTACTTATTATAATTTTAAATCAGGTGTGTTATGTATGAATACTGGACAGAACTCGTAAATTTAAATTTGGCTCAAGAAACCAAATGTGGGATAAACAACTTATGTAATTATGATTTGGTACTCAAATTTTCGTTGGGGCTTACTGCGTTTTATTGTTTATTGTTTGTGCGCAGAAAAGATTTGCAAGAGCTGTAGATTGCCAGGAAAAAACAGGGAAGGTGGATCAAAACAAAACCATTTAGATAGAAGTGCATTCAATTTCGAACATTGGCATCGAAACATCGGAAGCTCATACACTTACTTTCTCACTCCCCATTATTTTGTATTCCGAACCCAGGAAAATTACACAACTTCAAAAATATGTAATTTAAAACTTTTGCAGTTCATTATTTCACTTTAATCTGCAGTACGCAATAAATACGGGATAAAACACTCTTGACAACAATGTCAAGTTCCAAGCATTGAAGAATACTCCTGGAATACTCCCCCTAACGTAATTGCTCGATGCATGGTCGAAGTCGACTTCATTGGCTTCGATCAACTTCAGTCACTACGCGATGCGAGAACATTATAACCAACCATAACAACGCAAATTATGATGCACACGTAAAACAAATGAAGACACCGTCACCATTGTCTTCTGTGACCAAAAGGATTTCTTATTGGGCTTTTTACTCTCTGACACACCATGAAGAATGACATCCACGGACATCCAACAACAGTATACAAGAATTTTCCTTACGATGGGATAAAGTGACAGATCGGAAAAAACAAGTGAACATCACGTTATTTCAGAGAAGTATCCCTCCGCCGCGTCAGCTGTTTAGTTACGCCCCTTCGTAGGGTTTGTTTACGGTTCACGCGAGACATCACTGACGAGATGTCCGAGTTTCGCTTAGTTATATGCACCACGCGAGTCCGGGAAATATAGAAATTTATTTACATAAATGGGAAAATGTAGGAAGGGAAAATCCTTCTCTATAGCTGAGACTCTATCGGACTCTACTTCGGTGGGGTATATTTGAAAAGCGTCGGCCGCTATAAATATAATCGGATAGATACAGCAACATCACTCGGTCAATGGGAAAACCTTTATAAATACCCTAAAAGGGTGAAACATGGTGGAAATAATCCACCATGGGGTGAACGGTGAAGGGTTCTCCCGAGGATGTCGAGTGAACCATACTACGGTGTAAAACATTTATCTTACATCGTTACCATACCTACACTTCCAGAATATAGATCTATCCCGGGGATGACCATAATCTCTGGCGTGAACTTTCCTTCTTTAATAATAATGGGGGAATCATTATGGCATTTTCAGCGCATGATCATCACGTTCATATGCAGCTAATTGTCAAATCGAAGAGCACGTGTCAACTGATGTACGAGTGTGTCAAATCAACGTCTTCTAAACTTACACACACTAAAGAGGCAACACTGACGGCGATAGTCAAGTACTCACACTCACGTCGTTATTGGCGTGCGCACGATTATAGGCACGAAATTGATCTTTATTGCCTCTAAAACATCGAAGTTATGCTTCGATTTAAACACGAGCTGAAAGGAGAGGGGGAAATTGTTATCCAAGAAATAAGGAAATTAAAGCCGAAGAAGGCCTTCGGGCCAGACATCTCGAACAGATAAAAGAATCAGGCAAAAGCTTGGATGAAACCTGTCTTTTTAACAAACGTATACAAACAGGCAGCATCCCAGAGAAATGGAGGAACTCCACAATGAAAGTTTTGTAGAAAGGACAAGGAAACTTAGAAGAACCAAACGCATTCAAGCGCATTACCTTGGAATGCAATTCCTTCAAACTTCTCCCCAAACTAGTTGCAAGAAAAATTACCGAAAAGACTGAAAGTGCTCTCCCAGAAGCCCAATTTGGATTTCGAAAACGTAGATCCACTCAACCAGCAGTCAGCCAGCTTGTAAAGGGCATAAAAGTAGCAACAGAAAAAAAGAGCGGCAAACTATATACAGTCTTCTTGGATTTCACAAAGTCATTCGATCTCACAATAAGAGACTATATTCTTCAAAAATTAGAAGAAACCTTGGGGAAAACATCTATATGAGTAAGACTAATTAGAGAAATTCTGCGGCACAACACCATCCAAATAACTGACGACCTTATAACATCCGCACCTATTTAACCAACAAATGGTATACTACAAGGACCCCTCTTAGTCCCCTGTTCTTTATATTAGCAGCCGAGGATATTGCAGTGGCCAAAAGATAGGAGAAAATATCGAAATCTATCCATACGAAGACAACACTGTGGTGACGTCAAGAGATCTAGACACACTACAAGAAGCAATAACAGACATGGCAGAATGGTGTAAGGGCAGGGTTGCCACCTCTCCGGTTTTAGATCGGAGACTCCAGTTTTTGAGCTTCATCTCCGGTTTTTGAAAAATTATCTCCGGATTTTTTTCAATTTCAATACATTTTCAAATTTTTTACAAAATAAATACATTTTTCAACTTAAAATTTAA